GCAAAAAAATAGATTTTCACATTAACATATTTTGGCATACAAAGGTGTACATCAAACCAACAAATAAGGCCATAAATCATTTACCAAATAGGTCTCAATGGTGATCACAAACCAATCTCCAACAAAATGGGGAACCACAATCAATATCGATAGAACCAAATGCCAGTGAATAAATGTCTCATAATTGGATCCAATATCGTATCTTAGAGTCACCACGAGTAGGCAGCCCGTGGAACTTTTCCCTAAGAACGACCCGGCAAAAAAAAAAACCGTTGAGCATTAGAGTCACCGGCCTAATCCGGACTCTTCTCTAATGGCCAGAGTCACCCACACACAGAGGATTAATTTCCCTGGACTTTCCAAAATATGTTCCCAACAATATCCACAAGGTTCTCACCAAAAAAGATTATCCGAGCAATAAATAGTTTCACCAATCCGCATGCCAATTTAATATAATCAAATATAACAATGAGTTTCCAATTTCAATCATAAATTTTCCAAAACAATAATTTAAGGGATACGGGGAAGTTCGAAAATACGTAACATGCTTAACCACTCACCTGAGTCCGAAAATAATGCAATTCGAACCGCACAAAACGAGCCTAACCTGAACAAAACATCATATAGCAATATTATCACTAATTGCGTCAAGTATTATTACCTACGGTAGTTTAAAACTTCCTGGAACTATACTAATTTAAGCCTAAGAACAATTTAAGACTAATCCTACCAAAACCATTATCCTATTTCCATTCCCATTGCTATAACCTTCTGTTCAACCACGTACACCCAAAAACCCAGTGCACCTGTAACGCCCCAAGCAGACCACTGGCCCAATACCTTGAGTTTGATCCACAAGCCACACCACATGGCCCAAAAGCTTAAGCACAAGGTATTAGTAGTAGCCCACAAGGTTTGTTATATGCCCAAGATCATCCATGTAGACTTCCGATGTGGGACGGGGTGTAACAATTTCCCCAACTTTATAGCCTCGCGCCCTCGCGAGGGGTTGAGCACTATAATCACCAATACAAATCAAACCAACAACCAAATCAAACCAAACTCAAAGGCCCACATAGTTGTGTACATGGATGGCTTTGATACCACCTGTAACGCCCCAAGCAGACCACTGGCCCAATACCTTGAGTTTGATCCACAAGCCACACCACATGGCCCAAAAGCTTAAGCACAAGGTATTAGTAGTAGCCCACAAGGTTTGTTATATGCCCAAGATCATCCATGTAGACTTCCGATGTGGGACGGGGTGTAACAAAAAGCGCCTTATTTGCACGTTTTTTCTGAAAACACACAAAAACCTACCTTACGTGCAATATCGCTATAAATTAAAGCTAAATAAACGCAAGTTAAAACAACAAAGAACCAGACTAGTCGCACCAAATATCTGCAATAATTGGTGCTCATCAATATAGCAAGACACTATTAGTAGCCTAAGTCGAATAAAAAAGCAGTAAATCTATCCATATAGATTTTTCACGTAAAGATCGTGCACATATTGGGATGTGGGGCCCACTACGGGTCCCACACAATTGATCCGAGCCATTCATTAAATTTAAAACATGTTTCAAGGTCTTCGCGCGAAAACAATTCAATCCGCTACCTATAAGTGCTCGATCCAATCATCTAACTTTTCATTTAAGGTTTAAAATCCTAAAAACTGAGCGAAAAGTTCGATGATTGGTTTGAGCACTTATAGGTAGCAGATTGAGCTGATTTCTAATAAGGGGTCTTCAAACCATATTTTAAATTTAATGAACGGCTCGGATCATTTGTGTGGGAACCGTAATGAACCCCACATTCCAATTTGTGCAAGATCTGTGCGTAAAAAATCTGTGTCATTAACACTACTGATAAAAAGGGGTTAACATTTGTAATTGATCTCCTCGATGCCCTGAAATGAAGGATCTTGTGAGGGTTTATCGGAGAGATTAATTTGGGTTTGAGCTAGACTTCTAGGGTATGTTTCCACTTTTTTGTTTTTGTCTTCTATTTGAGGGCGTTGTTTTTTATTCTGGTAAAAAGGAGTTTTATTACCAAAAAAGAACCAATATTCAAAGGAAATGAGGGGCATACCTCAGCAAACTGTCCAACAAAATTGGAAACAAAATATAAGAAACAATATACACAAAAGAACTGGCCTAAGAGTATCCACAATGCTATAATCAAAAGTAAAAGGTTTTTAAAGTTAACAATGTTGGTGTAAAATATGACTCACAATGCTATAATCAAATTTAACAACCTCCTTAGAATTTAGAAATAATCAAATTTTGGGCTTTAGATAACCAAAACTAACAACCTTTTGACAATAACCAAATTTAATAAACCATACATATTCTCAATCAAATACACCAATCATTATACAAAAATGTTCTCTCTTCCCTTTTCTTCTCTCTCTTTCTTTTTGAACAATATTTTACTAAACAAATGTTTTTTTTTTTTTCAGAAAATTGTTTTTAAAAATAGATTTTTTTTCCAAAAAAAAAGTTTCAAAAACAATTTTCTATTTCTAGTAAATAGTCTTTATTAGTTTCAAAACTATTTTAGAAAAACTATTTTCTATTGTTCACAATTTTTAGTTTTTGGTAGTTTGAAAAGATAATGTAACAAATTTTGGTTATCCAATTTTGATTATATCATTGTAGACATCTACATTGTTAACATTAGCAATCTCTTAAATGAATAATTAAAAGCTGACGTGGCAACTTTTGATTATCAATTTTTGATTATAGTATTGTGGATACTCTAACTACTGCTAGCTACAAAACTTTCTTCGAGATGTTCCAAGCTCTACATAAAATTCTATTCACCAGGGCTACATTCATAGTTTCTCCAAGAGAACACTCTATCCTGCCCTTATTTGAGGGCATTGCGTTCTTCAACAGTTTATCAACAATTTTTTCAAGAGAACACTCTATCTTAATAACGCACTTATTTGAGAGTGTTGTTTACCTCATTTCTGTATTGAGTGGGACTTTTTATGTCACGTTGATTCAATCGAGCTCACTCTTTCACAAAGAGAAAAAACAACGGAGAAGGAGATAAATTAACACTCTGTGCCATTATAAGGAGTAAAAATTATTTCAGTAGTCTCGGAGTGCAGTCACGTGGTGTTCTGAATCATTCTAGCATGCGGGATCTATATACTTAGTTGTGGATTCGACGAGAAGGTGCTCCGAAGCACCACGTGGCCGTGCTCCAGAACCACCGAATAATTAGACATATATGAGTACACCATAGAAAGGGATTGGGCGAAGAATAGATTTTTACCAAGTATAAAAATGGAAGGTTGTTAATGAGGACATTGGGTACCTACCCATTTGCTATTAATAAATTAGATAGTGTTTCTTTTGTCCCCATTTTTATAATCTAATTTCATTCACATGGACCACATCTAGGATAGGATTACATCGGATCTAGATTGCACCTTACCAATATTTGTAGGAGAACATTTAATATTAGGGAAATGATTTCACAGCCCCTTTTTCAATGAATGCATTCCGTTTTTGTCTTTTAATGCAATTTCCATGTGTAATTTTTTACTAAAAAATAAGAAATTGAGTATATTAATTTATATGAGAAAAAGAAGGGGTGTGAAAATCATTTCCCTTAAGATTATGGTACAATTTTGATTCAAATTTGTGCAACAAGATTTATCGTAATTCGTAACTATTGTCAACTATTTTTGTAACTAAACAAACTAATTCGCAATTCGGACACCTGTCCATGAACTATAAATAAATTTGGCAGAGATTCTTTTCGCCTATATATTTTTAAATTTGATACCTGTCTCAGATACGCTAACATTGGACCAATGTTGTAGGAGAACATTATGGTATAATTTTAATAAAACAAAATGAGTACCTTAATTAAACAGTTCGTAACAGTTTTGGTATTATCATTTTCCTATTTTGTAATAAGAGAATATAAGTCGTGATATATCCGTTCGCATCGCGCACATTCATTCATAATTGTCCAAAATAACACTCCTATGTAACAAACGCATAAAATATCCTAACAGATCAAACCATAAAAAATACATAACATAAGAATCGGAAAATTCGTGCCCATCCATTAATATGTATATCGTATAATTTCACCTTTCTAAATATGTAACATAAGCTACACCAAAAAGATATAACGCTGCTATCATACACACTATGCACACCATAGCTTCTCCATACGCGTATGAAAAACGTGAGCTTTTGAACACACCGACGAAGTCCGCAAATATAGTGAGACAGAATTAGCCGTGGCAGCGATGGGTAATTCTTCCGGCCCGCCCCGCAATAAAGATGGAATAACATTGAAAAAGCAAAATGGAAGGAAGTGATTATATGGAGGGTAATGATTTTCGCACTCATTTTTTTGATAAATGCATTTTTTTTCTTGTCTTTTAGTAGAAAAAAATACATACAAAAGTTTCACTAAAAGACAAAAAAATAGAGTGTCTTTATCGAAAAAGAAAGTGTGAAAATCATTTTCCTTATATAAATTGTGGTATTTTAGTATAATGGTGAAAATAGAAAAGTAAAAAGTATAATTGTTTTAGTATAATGATAATAGTATAAATAAACTTCGGGGTGAGTAATGGGGTGGCCGGCTGGGGTAATATGAACCCGGAGTAGCCTACTTGATTTCGATCAGATTTTTATAATTTTTTCAAAAACCCACCAACGTATCCGAAAAATTGATACGTACCGGCCATCGGGTCAAGAGCATGGTGGGACAAATTGCCATCCCTAGACAGTATTTCTAAGCTTTAAAGTCGAATAAAAAAAGCTTTGAAGTTTGTAATTGATCTCCTCGACGACCTGAAATGAAGTACAGTATATATCTTGTGCAGGGCCGGCCCAATGGGGAGACCCAAGAGGTCCCCATCTTGGGCCTCCACATTTTGTGTCAAAAATGAGACAACCCTTCCTAGATAAGTGTGTGTGTGTGTGTGTGTATATATATATATATTTTGTAACTATAATACAAACTCCTTGAGTGGTTCAATGGTAAAGTGTTTGCTATTTTACATAAATTGCCTAGGTTCAAATCCTGGTAAGGTACTTTTTTGTAGTGTCTTTGTAACGACCCGGATTTTCGACCTTATTTTTTTTCTCTTTAATAATAGAGTTAATATTATTAATAGCATTAATAATATCATAAAAAAAAATTATAATCTTTTCCTTAATATATATACAAATATAATTATTTTATTTTATCTTTTTTTTTTCTTTGCATGCAATTATACACAATTAGAAAGAGTTAAGAATTCCACCTCTCCTCCTCCTGCTTCTCCCTCTCCTACTCGATCTCGACTTCCTCCCGGACCATATAATCGTCCATATCTCGTCCATCTTGAAGCCAAGAAATAGAATCCGTATTTAATACAACCTCTTCAAAATTCTCCTATATAAAGCCCTCCCCATTAACCCACGAACACATCCCTACACCCTCCACACTTCTCTGAATCAGAATAGAAAGAAAATCCGAAGGAAACGAAGCTCCAATCTATGGAGTTCTAGAGAGAGAAAGAAAGAGAGAGAAAAGTGGGTTTGTGTTCAAAAACCAACCGAGACCCAATCCGACCATTCTAATCTCTTCCTAAAACTTCTAGCATCACCAAACGTTGTCCAATTTGATCCCAAGGTTCCCTAATCGAAGAAATCAAAGTCGTCTTCTCCAAATTCCAAGTTTCGGTTTAAAATTAATTCGATCCAATTCGAGGTATTATAATCCATTCCAATCCTTCCTCTAAGTATATTTAATGTTTTTATGCATAACCCAATAGCCCGAACGACCCCATGCATCGAAACCGAACCAAAAAAATAAAAAAATCAAAATCTGCGTTGAACCTTGCGGCCGGGAGGTTCGGGCCGCAAGAACCAGGCCTGAGGTTGCGGTTAGCTGCTCAGACGCAAGGTTGACTCGGTCAGACCTTGCGGCAGGTTCTGTTTTGGTTCGAAATCGTTTTGCGACCTCCCGAACACCGTTTTCAACCCCCGAACTATTTTTTCTAGACTTTTCACACCTTAAAGATCATAACTTGTTAAGGTCATATTTTTTTTATTTTAATTATCTATTTATTAAATTATTTATTAGTTATCGTTCAACGTTTACAAACGAAAATTAGTTATGACCTTTCAACCAACGTTTTAATACTCCAACTAATTTTTTTTAGACTCCTTACATCTCAAATACAGTAACTTGTCAAATTAAATATTTATTTTATTTAATTCACTATTTATTATTATTTTTAAAGTAATTCCAATCAAAATTACTTTACGATCTTATAAACATTATTATTAATACCTGAGTAATTTTATTTAGACTCTTTACTGTCCAAAGATGAAACTATGTTAATCTCAACATATTTTTAATAGTAAATTATTTATTATCTATTTATTTCCCTTTCGGCCACTTTATTTAACGTCTTCATTTAAAAATAATCCCGAGACCTTTCGAACCCAACTTTTGATATTCAAACATGTTGCGTAAGACCTTTAAGACTCTTATTAAGGTCATGATAATTATTCTAATATTTTTACCTAATTAATGCATTTAATTAGTTTTTAATCAATCTAATTTTTTTAAAATAAAATTTATACAAGCCTAGATTTATTCGTTTTATAAAAAAATTTATTAGATAAAAGTTTCTTACATTATTAATAACTTATTGGCTATACAAGATTAAGGGCAACGGCCCATTCATAAAAAGTTATGTGATTTCTACGCTCGTTATTTTATTTATTTCAGTTATCATTGTGATTATTTACTCCGATTTGTGATTTATCTGTTAGATTGGCACGTAGAGATATAGGGTGGTATGAGAATAGAGTTCACTTAGACGATGCTAAGTAATTGATAAATTGGAAAGTTTAGATTTGCCTACAGGCAGGATGTTGAGATGTGATGAGTTGGATGTGATGAATTGGATGTGATGATTTGAAACTGGCAAAATAAGCCCAGTAATGAATTGAAACTGGCGGGAGTCCAGTGATGATATAAAACCTGGCAAAGTAAGCCCAGTGGTGTTTTGATAAAACCTGGCAAAGTAAGCCAAGTGATGTTTTGATAAAACCTGGCGGGTAGTCCAGAGATGTTTTGTAATGATAAAACCTGACGGATAGGGCCAGAGATATTTTCCGATGATAAAACCTGGTAGAGATCCAGCGATATTTTGTGACAGTAAAACTTGGCGGTGGACCAGTGATACTTTCTGATGATAAAACCTGGCGGATTGCCCAGTGATGTTTATGCTGATAAAACCTGACGGTTGGTCAGTGATGTTTTGCGATGATAAAATCTGACGGTTGATCAGTGATGTTTTGCGATGATAAAACCTGGCGGATAGCCCAGAGATGTTTTGTGATGATAAAATCTAGCAGGTGGTCCAGCGATATTTTACAAGGATAAAACCTGACGGGTGGTCCAGCGACGTTTTGTGATGATGGAACTAGTGGGAGTCCAGTGGTGATTTTGATGCAAGGATTAAGGTAAGCAAACCTTAATTAAGGTCTGAGCATGACTAGCTTTTCCCTTGGTGTTAGGCGAATTGTCAGGAATGAATAGGTTTACATGAACTACTTCTATATTATTCTTTTTGTCTTAATAATATATTATTGCCTGCTAGCTGTAATGTAAGGGGGGTGATTTGGTTGGATTATACTACGGGGTGAACTCCTTCACTCAGGCACGGATTATCTGGCATCCGTGTCAGATTTTGCAGAAAATCAGGTGGAGACTCAGGACCCTGAAGGAGGGCAGTACTATCCAGGGATGAATCCAGAGATGGAGATTGAACCAGGGTACGCTTGGGATCCATATCAATCCTAGAAGACGGCTCTGTTATTTTGATTAATTTACTACCACAAAGACTATTTTCAGTATTTCCACGATGGTTTGTAATAGACGAATCTTTAGGGTGAATTATCCGTTTTGGATTTTGAAAAATTTTTAGAAATCAATATTTAATGCCTCCGATTTTATTTCCGAAAATCGGGGCGTTACAATCTTTTTGCCAAAAAAAATTTCCTCATGTCACACAAATTCAAGCTTCTGTGATTCAAACTTAAGGCTAAAATATTTACCATGTTGAATAGTATGACTGAAAATTATATATAGCAAAGCATTTTGTTTATTGTTTTTAAATTAGAAAATTTATATAGGGTACTATTCCATCACTTGACTTAGGGCATCTAAATACCTTGAGCCGACCCTGATCTTGTGAAAGTTTATCTCATCAGAGAGATCTCGGTGAGAGTGATGTTCTTCTCCCCATGTTTTTCACGGTTTGTTTTTTGTGTTTTATATGAGGGAGGGCGATGCATGTTTACCTAACTGTCGTATTGACTGGACTTTTGTCAATTTATGTACGAATGGGACTTGGTATAATTGACACGTGATTGACTTATTCACGGAGGAGCATAAATAAGTCATTTGCAAAGCTGAATGATCTCAATCGTTCATTTCAGCATTGAATGATCTAGATTTTAATAAAACTTTTTCGGAGAAGGGTTCCCCGGAAAAGTTTTATTAACATCCAGACCGTCCAAAGCACTTTTGAACGATCGCAATTGACTCCCGTGAAAAAGTTTTCGCGGAGCTTTCCGTGAAAAAGTTTTTCGCAATTTACACTTTACACTTTAAAAAAAAAAGTGTATCAAAAAATCATGCGATTCTCTCTACAAGCCGACGTAAGAAAAATAAGTAAGACATGTTATGTAATTCGATATTTTTTACTTTTCGTAACTTTTTGTTTAGGTTTTCATCGTAATTTTTTGGGATTAATTATTTGTCACAACAAAAATAATTGGAAAAACATAAAATATGGACCGATGTTGAAAAAAATTCAAATAAGACGGACACTTAGACAAATAAAATAGTTGTTTAATACTTTTTACGTCTTTAATGAACTTTTTTTTTTGCTTTCGGTCATAATTTTATACATTTTAGACTCCTCTCATCAAAACGGATGATTAATTCATAAAGTATCACACGAATCTAACAAAAATTTTGAAAAGACGGACAAAACACACAAAATGAAGAAGGAAATTAAGTTTACAAGAATGGAGACAAATAAACAATACACATTTGTACAAATTCTTTCCTATAACATTGTTCATATCCATATTATATTATTGTAGCAAAATACTACGCAGTTACTACTAGTAATATTTTGAGCTAAGATGCGCTTCTTACCAGTTCTTTTTTCCATGTCCAACGAGAAATATTGCACATATTTTGAGGAGGTAAAATAATACTCCCATTGAGGTAGTAGTTGGAGCAGCTAACATAAGGTTCGTCCTCTTCTGTCAGTCTCAAGTTCAACACTTGGGACTGGATGATTTTGAGAGGGGGTTCTAAGTTAACTTGTACTTCGGTGAGGTTTTGATGACGAAGCCCATGACATGGCGACAGACGAATATTTCATCGTTGGCTGCGTTAGTTATGGCTTTTAAGGCAACGTTTTCGCCAACCTAAAAATTGTAGATTATTTCTTGTAATACTTGTAGTTAAGTTGTTCTACTAAATTATGTTTAAAAGCAAAAAGTTTTACTAGTAGTTTAGCATAAACAAGTTTGCTAAAAGCAAGAAGTTTATATTGGAAACGCCCAAATCAGTTTTATCCAGTCTACCCTGTAGCTGAGCCCAAAAAATAGAGATAAAATAACACTCTTGGGTGCCATTACCGTTAATATGGGTTTAAGTCGAATTTTATGTGTAGAAAGATAAATTTTTGAGTGTCGAACGGACACCACGTGGTGATCCCAACAATTGCATACAGTTGTTTGGACGGGGTACCACGTGTGTGGTACCCGCCCGGCATCCAAAAACTTCTCGCACCGGAAACCCTAAATCATGCACCTAACTTTTTAGCAGACAGCAAAAGCCAAGACAAATTAGCATCTTTTTTCTTAAAGGGGACGGTGGCCCGATGCTAGCAAAATTGACCTAGCAGAGTAGGTAGCCCTCGAAGTTTCAAGATTCAATTGTTTTCTTCTCTTTCTTTCTCTGTCTTCCTCACATGATCGACAATTTCAATTTAATTAGGGTGTCCAGAAGA